ATATTATTATTAGCATATCGGCGAAATTTAACACTGTAAAACACTCTTCGAATACACTCACTCGACTTTTAATTCCAACAATTATTTTCCATGTTTTTCCAACGAAAAACTCGGACTTTGAGAAATGCATTTCGTTTGGATTGTGAGTGGGAATATGAATATGAATTTAAATTGGTTTTCCATTCAGTTTAAAATGACTTTAGAATGTAATTTTACAGTTTCGGTATGCTGTAACTTCAGAGTGTATCTACGATAAAAGCTATTATTTTTCAGACTGCGGATGTTAATGTATTTATAGCGTCCCTTAACATGGAAATTAGAACAAATGAAAGTTTTAAGTCTTATGTACATATTTATTAACATCAAAAAAAGCCCCTAGTGTAGAATTCAAAATTCTGTCCCATTTGAATTTTGAGATATTACTATTGAAAATTGTGACTTTGCAGAAACTTCCGTAGCCTAGTAATGATCATTTATCTGTGTTACACGCTAAAATATAAACAGAATATCTTCCGGAAATTCTGAATCTTCTAAAATATCTAAATAGAAACGATAGGAGAAATGTTGCAACAGGGCACTGATCGGCTTTCAATTCGTCATCAGGCGTCGTGAATTCGCAGCCAGAGTCGAAACTGTCGGCGCGATGAAAGAAAACCGAGCCGTTGTGTAATTGCAACAGAAACAGTTGGATGTTGATCTAACTAAATTACAACCAGCGCGTCGCGTTAATTAATTGCCATTGGTGCCGTTGCTAATCAGCTTCGTTAGAACACGGAAAGTGACGGCGGAACTTTGACGTTCCCTGTTGTTGAAAATCGACCAGTACTGTCGACGCCGAAACGCGTCGCAGGTTCACAGTCCGCGACGTAACATTGACGGCTTTAAACTGTAATAATTTGAATAGCTGTACGAAGATGGAAATGGTTCTTGTATGATTGTCTGGAAGAAGGTATGCTGAAAATAATCCAATCAGTTAGAATGTGGGACTCGTTGGAACTTAAAAAATATCCCCTATCGATTGCAAAGGATTTTGAGAATTTTCTTCATTTCATTGCTGTGTTAATACACTGCGTGGCATAACTATGAAACCACCCTGAAATTTTCAATCCTTATATGTATTTCAAAATAAAAACGAACCACTTTTTTCTAGGAAATATAATCTATCTTTTTCTGGAAAAACATTATTTTTTAATAGGATTTCAGACATGGCATACTTGGTTCGTCTTTGTTTTAACCACAATACATAAGAATTGAAAATTTTAAGGTGGTTTGATATTTATGCCTCGTAGTGTATATTCTGGACGTTAATTATTAATGTAAGATATGATTTCTTATCGGAGAATGCTACTGTCCATGTAAAAAAGGGGCAAATGGAAATATTAAATAGATTCATTAGGATATCTAGAAGACAGTTTTTTGGATGAAAAACGCCATTCTTAATACGTGAGACTTTAAGTGATCGTTTCCATTAAAATTATTATTACATTTTATTCGAAAGATATTTAAGAAGTAGTAGTAGTATATCATACTGTAAGCAGTGTATGAAAATTAAATTATAGCAATAACCAATTGTCATTTAAAAAAAAAATCAACTATTAGGGAATATAAAATATCAAAATTAGAATATATGGAACAAAGACAACTACGTGCAACTATAGAAACTGCTGCTTTCGTGGCGTCGTATGCACGATCTATTGTTAGTCGATACAAAGACGTTCGTCGTGAATTACTATTTACATCAATCGGCAAAGTTTTAACTTCGTCTATGGACCGAAGTTTGGCGCGGCCGGGTAGCAACACGGTTCTCCGCCCCCTTTAGAATCTGAAACTTCTCATCCTGTTAGGATCTATCGGTGGATAATTTGATTGAATCTTGAGAGAATTCGATAGTCCGTTAATGGGATTAAAACTGCGGATTTGTCCGATCCGTCTCTCTAATTCGGAGCACGGTATTCTCACGTCCATTGTAAAATTGATTTTAAATGTAACTGTGCTCACGGCGGTTCCTCCTCCTCTCGCCCTAATATCTACTTAGTAACTCGAGGAATTTATTACATAGGATCGTTTAGGTGAGAGGGGCTCTTTGATATAAACTTAAAACTAATGGCTCGAGGCCGGAATCCCTTAATACCGAAAATCATTGGCGGAATCCCCTTCTTCGATCGATGTAACGTTTCAACTAAGAAGCGGAAAAATTTTCGAAAGGAGCTGAGAAAACCAACGAAAAATGTTAAGACAATGAATAGGTGGAAGATGTGAGATTCTAAGTAAGAAAAGTAACAGTGATAAAAGATTAAATACTTTATTATTTTTTTTAAATTGACGGATATGGTCCAATACAATAAATAATTACAATACTTATGACGTGATAAGGTTTCCATAATACACTATTATGTAAATTATTGAATTACGTGCAACAATTTGGTTCATATTACGTAAAAACCTCATAACATGATATTTACAAAAATTTAAACGAATTCTGCTTATTTTACACCAATTGAGGAATCTGTTGAGATCAGATTGTATTCCTTGAACCGCAAAATATTCTTCCGTATATTATAAAAACCGTACGAAAATTCTCAAGTTCAATGTTAACATGTTATTCGCGTAACAATCGAATAATTTTCATCCTTGAATCGCACTGAGAGGAAATTAATTTTTAGTCCAAGGTAATTAACCGAATCCAGTGTAGGTGCGACGACCTACTAGTTTAGCGATTCTTTTCGAGTTCGAACGAGCGGAAAAAATGAGAAGGCACAGGCGAATGAGACACTCGATTGTCCTTCGTTTCGGTCGATTTACATTCCAGCCCGTTCACCTCGATGGAAAACGAGGTAAACCGTGAATGCCTGGCGAAAAACGTACAATCGGTACGCCCTCGAGTCATATCCGATCTGATTACGGAGCCGTTAATTACATCGATAATTAGCGGGTATCGATTCCGTTCAGTTTGTTGACTGATTCGTCTCCATCGGGCTTACGGTTGATGGAACACGTAAACACGGACGCCAATCGATTCGAATAATGTTTCCGCTAAAAACTCTTCTACGCCTTCGGTTATTTAAATTTTCAAATATCTTTTGATTGGAATCAACCATAATATTATTGGTTAGTTGGAATTATTCAATTATTAGAAGAATTATTAAACTCGTACATTTGTTTTTCCAGACCAATATGGCGTCCTCCATTTTCTTGTTGAAAGATTGAAGAAATGTACAGTGTGGCTTACAATAATTGAGTATTATTTCGTGAACCAATTGGTTATGAAAATATTGAAAAAAGTTCGTACACAGAATTGAAGAATATTATAGTATTTAGTCTCCTTTTGTATTGTACTGAGTTTTGTCGTGTTCCATAATTCTCATTAGAACTTGACTAATAATAACTATAAGTGTTTTATCCCTCTTTCCTTCTAAACACTTTGCTCGAACGATTCTTCAACTGCACGACGACAGCTCAGTTCGCAGCAAATATCGTAACGAAAATTATACGATTTACAACAATTCTCCAGTTATTTCCTCGAAATGAATTATACCTCTGAAAATAAGCCCAAATATCATTAACGAGTCCATACATTAACCACTCGGAAACGGTTATATTTCCGGTTCCTTGCTGGAGAAAATATACCAACAGTCAGTTTTCCTCCCCAACAAATTTCCCCGTTTTTATCCGCCTCATTAAGTTCGAATAATAAAATTATCGAGTAGAATGAGATTAAACGTTGCAGAATAGTACGCCACGTTTGGAACACAGTACAACCGTGCAAGTAACGCCCCGTTAGCGTGTATCGTTCCCGTTAAATAATTCCAGCGCGAAATTACAGGTAATCCAGAAATTACACGGAAAACAAAGGTCTGCCCACCCTTCCGTTCGTTTCGCCGGTTTTATTCACTCAAAACGGGACATTAATGAACGGCGATCGCGGCAACGTGGACCGTCTTAAAATATCGATAATGACCCGACCTAATTGGTTAATGATCTGCTCCGACGAAATCTGCGCCCGTGTTTCCGCCCGTTTGCGGGAATCCGTGCGTTTTCCACGGCCAGCCGGCGCGGCTCGTTTAACAGCTTACGGATAACTAAAACGGAAATAATGGCGAAATACTCGGGGCCGTTACGGCGACCCGTCGAACGGGGTATAATCGTGACATTATTAGCACCGTGTTTCATTACGGTAATGGCAAATCGGTCCTGAATACACTCCGTTATGTGTTATTATAATGTATTGTTGATGGGAAACAAAACGAATCGAGAATTAATGGTATTTTATTTTTATTTTCCTTTTACATCTTTCAATAACCTTTCGTTCTCTTTCTATTTTTGTACTGAAAGGTTTATATACTTTGTTTTCTACTGATACCCCGCTTAAAATTAGCAATTTATTTCCGATCAAAGGCGCTTAGGAATTAATTTGTAGAATAATTATAGCACATGATGCCTGCGATCTACTACGATTATATGTGGTCGGATATTCTCTTGTTAGGTGAAAATAATTAGATGTTTCTGGGTGCGTTATAAACACGATACGACCTACGGCGATTTCTAAAATTTATTAGAAAAATTATTGCACATTTCAATGTTTCAATAAAACATCTTTTTCTTTATGTATGTTCTCATCGTGTTAAATTAAATTTATAAAAATACTGAATACCCTCGATCTAATTGCAAATAAATGCTGATTTGTACGTGAATTCTCAGAGTTTCACTGGAAAATAATGTATTTCCATGTGATGATTACTTATGTGTGTAGCTTACATATTACCGTCCTACAGAACTTATTCAAGTCTAGATTAAATGTTTCACTAGTAACAAATATTTAATATAAATGGAACAATTGTAGCAGTGATGAAAAACACGTCCTAGATGCATGAAGAGGTCATTAGTCAGTGTCGAAGGTACGATGTGTGACAATAACATACTTCGTGAATATTCTTTCTCTATCGAATAGAAATTCTCTCCATCACAATAGTAAAAATGTAAACAGTCGCGACCCCCCCTCTATGAGGCCTAATCCCGTCTCTACCTGCACGCTAAAGGTGAACATTGTCCACCATTTCAGTTACTGTGTAAGTTTCGTCTCGTAAAGACGTGTTCGAGTCCTGTGCAAAAATTTCATTATCGAGAATCGTTAGAGTTCGTAGAGTTCGTAGAGATCGTAGAATCGAGAAAAGTTTTATTATCGAGAAAGAAAAAATCGTTTCAAGAAGAAAATCCACGCTTCTGATTTCAGCCTTGCGAGAAACCCAGCGATTTCCGGGCGGAACAGTGCGCGGCGTACGACGACGTACCTTATAGCGGGCAACTGGTGAAATGGTACCCGCATTACGATCCGGCGAAGCCCTGCGCTTTGATCTGTCGGGGCGAGCAATCGGTGGAGAACACCGGGAATCGGTTCCGGCAGGACACGTCCGTCGAGAAGATGCTTCCGAGCGACGCTACCGAGGCCCTGCAGCTCGACAGCGACGAGACCATCGTGGTGCAGCTCGCTGAAAAGGTGGAGGACGGCACCAAATGCTACACAGAGGGCACCGAGGTTTGCATCGCAGGTGAATGCATGGTGAGTACACTTCATATTCTGCTTATAAGTGAAACCTGTGAACTGGGATGAGGACTGACCAGGAATAGGGACATTTTATTTATACTTCATATTAAATTTACTATTATTCAGTTAAATTGTTTTTAAAAATACTTTTATTTAAATTTAATTATAAAGGGAGGTTCAAATTTTATATCAAATATGTTCTTTGTCGATTCCTGCATAAATAAATAACAAAAATCAATTTCTACGATAGCAGAACTCTTACATGATTAGAAATAGGGACATCGACCGTAGAGGTTAGGTTTTTACGGTAATATAACCGGTCGATCCCCAAATGGTTAAGCAACGCTATCAACATCACGAAAATATCAGTTCACGTCGATCCTGTCAAAAGGATATCAGGTTTATGATTTCGTTCAAAATGAAAAGCGATCGCAATCGAAACATTGAACTGTGAGCCGCTGTCCGAGCTTTTGGCGGATTCCTCGTTAAAAGCTCGACTCGGTCGAGAAAACCAATTTGTTAAGTGAATCGTAGTTCGGATACGTTCGTCTCTCAGGAGGGCGTAATTTTTGCGGGCATGTCGGTATCACTTCCGGTCCGCCATATTTCGCAGATCGCGGGGAAACTTTGCGAGAGTTCTGGCCTGCCAAAACCCTCTCGGCCCCCCATTCAATCTTGTGTTTTACGCACAGGCCGTGGGGCTGATTTCCGGCCAGCGTTCAATCGAGCATAGTGCCGAACGGGATACCGATGGAAAATCAATTAGGCGAATCAAACGGTACATTGGGGGAAAAATTGATCGGGAAATTGCGACATCCGGTGGCTCGAACAGAGGAACAAGGTACACGAGTGGTTAAAGTTTACTAGACGAGTGTTTGACTTCAAATTAACTTTGATGAAAATATTTATTTATTGGATTTTTTGTACCGAATTCCTACGGTCCATTGTTTTCAAACGAACATTTACGAAAGGACAACGTGAATTTAATCTGTCAAAGATGATACACCAATAACATTGCAAAATTAACGATGTTATCTTTATTTTATAAACCGTGACGTTTATTGCTTCGATTCGATTAATATTTTCGGCTTCAATTTACATTATTTGATTTATTATTCGGCGAATGTTTAGTCTATGTGCGTGCTTCGATGAAGTATCCACAAGTGGTCACTTCTGATTATTATTACGTGAACGATTGTTTAATGTCACCAGAACATTTAAGAAAATATATTTGAAAAAAGCAACGCCAGCGCGGACAAAAAAGTTACGTGTGATACGCGAAGATAAATGTTTCCAATGAAAAAATGACAATGTCATTGTCAACGTTACGTCTGCGTAGCATGAAACAACCGACAATATTCTGTTTCCAATCCAGAATATTTATTCGAAATATCGAGCGACCAACTACAAATTCACTGTCATTCTGATAAACATCATAGGAACCTTCAAGCACATCAAAACCCCTTTGGTTGCAGATACTTTATCATGGTCGGTGAATAACGCGGCCGCCACTGTTAATGAAAAATTTTCGACCGAGTTTACCGATCGTGCAACCAACATTCCATCCATTAACGGGAAGCTACAAATGAGTAATGAAGTTTTCCTCCAATATCTCGCACTCTGTTTCCCCATAATGTATCCCTTAATTAAATTTTCTCCTCTCCCGTTAGATCACACTCTAGGGCACGAAACAACATTATCGATCGTTACACGAAAATTGCATTCGTGAATCAACGTGTCGTGATAAAACAGAAGGACAAACCAGAAATTACCAGAATCTACTGTCATAAGTAAACAGCGGATTTTATGCATTTATAGCACACACGATTCTCTAGAACTCACTATACTTGAGATCTGTTAAAAAAATATAGGTATCCACTTAAAAAGACGAAGTTCACTTTCAAATGACATTCAAAACGTTCACCAGATTAAAAATAAACAATGTCATTCTCTTTCCCCCCTTCAAAATCAAACAACTTTTGTCTAAAATACTTTCTTATGAAATGCTTGGTTTTTATAATATATCCACGTGTCAACTTAAATGCCGCACCCTGTATACAATCGTGTCACGGAAAAAATTCCACAAGCATCCATCGAGATTTCGACAGAACCTCTTCATCCCCTCTGATTTTCAATTACCTATCCATAATACAAAGCTGATAATACCAGTCTGCATCAGCCGTGAATCAACGTATCGCTATAAAACAGAAGAAAAACCCGAAATTTCTCCCGGAGAGAATCATTTGTCGTCGAAACTCGGTTGCATCTACTCTCATTAGTGATACAGGTCGGTCGTTGATCAGACATATAAAGTGATCATTGCGCGCGACGCGTCAGCCAATTCCACAAAACAACCGGCTCAATTACCGGGCCAATTTCGACGCGTTAATTTCAGTAGCAGCACCGAAAGGGGTGGAGGTGAAATCGCGACCACGTTCGGGCTCGTAAAAAACACCCCGAGACCCGTGGAAACGCTGGGAAAAATATTTTTCATTGAGGCCTCCATACACATACACGATTTTTCCGTGCCGCGGCTCGACGACCTCTGGCATCGTGAAATTTTCAAGCTTTCATCTGCAAGTTTCATCGTTCTGTTAATATGCGATTAACGCGTGTATATACATATATATACGTGCTCTACATTCTAATACGTCGTTCGACTGTTTTTGAAACTGGATTTTATTTGTTCTCCCGGTGGAATCGTACGCGTCATGCGAAATTTATGCCATATGCGGGCCAGCAAATGTGAAATAAAACGCGGAGCGTCTGGACTTTGACAAAAAATCCTCTGATTTTGAAGCTTTTGTTAATGGAAGTTGTGGAAAAGATCCAACGCGATAATGTGGAAATTAAACGTCTAGATTGGATCTATCGTGGATATAACGTACGTACTTTGGGAGTTGGGTATAGTGTGGGAGTAGAATTTTTTTTCATTTTATCTACACTTATTATTACATTTTGTCTACTTGACATTAGAAATTATTTATACATTTTTGTTACACTCATACATTCTCACTCATTACTTCCATTTACGTATTTTCACAGACCATTCATTCCTACACCTTTCTTAATATTACTTTTATCATACATAAAAGTCTATGAGTATATTATACATTTAATCTTAAGTTCAGAATTTGTTTATGTCAGTACATTATTGAGCTTATATAATTGTTATGTAACCAGATCTGTTAGATATTTTCTTTTGAGTCTACGGTTAATGGTAGTGTAGCAGTGAATTATCGTTGGATTAGCGTGGTTATCGATTCGGTTTTTATGTTTTGAGCTGCATTTTTGTACTTCATTAATAACAATATTAACATTTAAGGATTTTCTAAGATCCTAGAAACATTTAAAACAAGACACTGTGAAAACAAGACTTGTGCCTTAAAAAACGAAATAAAGTGTGTCTGGCTACATACGACCTTTTTTACTGTTACAGTCAACGTGTTAAAGGAGTATCCAATTTATTCAAAGATCAATATTAAATTTGCCTGACCATAATGGATTACTCATTATTACACTAAATAACAAATTCACACATCCTATTCTATTCAAGTAACTTTCCTTGCATTTCTTCGCTTTCCCTCGCATTCTTATATAAAGAAACCATATCACCAGAATATCACCTGGAAAATCATAATTACGTAACCCACAGGATATCTTATATTACAACCGTAATTGGGTCAATGAAATCGGAAACTGATAAAAATATCTTCCTGTTACATATATATATAACTCAGAATTTCCAACAAACATCCTCCTCGACCTCGGTTCTTAAATACTCGGGGTCAGGTTATATTCGGAAGTGGTCCCCGAGTCGACAGGTTCGCAAGATAATTAATTAACATCGGAGACACAAGACCTTTAAATATCCCCCGATCTTACCTCGGTCTTCCGGCTCGGTTAAGAATTAAGTCGCATTCGTTGGATCCCTCGTCGAAACTTTGCCTAGGAAGAAGAAACTTCCGACGGAAACTCGAGATTTGCACAGGTGGGGCACACAGTGGCCCTTCTTCTGTCTCCCCCTCTATCCCCCTTGGTTCGACTCGTCCAAACTTATTTATAACTTTTCGTTTCCGCTACGATTGTCCGCGACCGCGTTTTTCCTCGACCAGGGAAAATGCGAGCTAACGAGGCGTCGTCGTCCAGCCGTCGTCTTCGGCCAATATTTGCGGTGGGTGCGTCCAGACGCCCGCACTTCTCGTCCATTAAGTTAATTCGACCTTACTTTACACCGCGGACCAGTTCTCTGTGTACTGAGAAACACAAGGGAACTTGGAGGAGGTTTGGCTTCATCGATTGGCCCCTTAAGTAACCACGACCTTGCCGAGCACTGCTAGGTTAGAGGAAAGAAATACCCGCGACATTTATGAGAGGGACCCCACGCTATTGTTATTATCTTATCAGACTATAGCCAGGCTTGTGTCTTGACAATTCTAAATATAAAATTCTTGCACGATCCCATCACTTGATTACTGTTAAATTCACTAATTTTAAGAGTCTGGAATAATCTAGACGCTATACTGGATGATTCTATTGAATTCACATTTCCTAATAATAAAATACAAATCTGTTAAATCTTTTCTATAAAATACAGATATTTAGTTCTTAACATTACATAGATAATTACAGACTTTTAAAGATAATTAAAGAATCTAGAATTTAGTAAGAAACAACTGCACAGAAGTCCGACGAATGGGAAACAGACGAACGTGAACGATTCACAGGTATGTCCAAGAGGGGCGTCACGAAATAATTAACGAGATTTCATAGCGACGACAGTAGCGACGAAGTTGGAGGAACAATATCTAATCAGCGGGCGAGACCACGTAATTAAGCACTAACCGGGCACCGGTAAACGCAAACTGGTTTTGCATTATTAAAGCGACGGCCAAGTTCTCCTTCCGCGTTGGACACGCTCGATAAGTGTGCAACGCTTTTGTGCCATCACGACCCGTTAGAGTTTGTCTTGTCCTCCGTGAAATTCCTCTTGTTTCGTTTAGCATCTCTCTGCG